AAGGTAGACATGAGAATTTTCCAAAAAATCAAATGTAATATTTTCAAACAATGGTGGTCTAGTGATTGAATATCTTCCGCAAAAATTCGATTAGCTATGGATCGAAAAATTCAAAAGCTTTTAAAAACTTATTTTATGAAACCGCTCTGATACCACTTGAAAGTTCATTAGGTGTTTAGGCCCTCTTGAACTTAGTCCCAGCTAATTAAAAAGAAGGGAATTGGAAAACTTTAAAACCAAAACACAATTCAAATCACCACAATAATAAATGCGGAATTAAAACGCGGAAGTAGTAAAAAGAAAGAACACACCGGATTTATAGTGGTTCGGTCAAACCTCTCGACGTCCACTCCTTGGAGGCACCCCCCAAGTATTGCACTAAACTAGTGTCTCTCCTTTAGCCCCCACAGCTAGCGCGAGAAGCCTTTACAAATACACTTCCACCCCCCCGGTGCGGCGGAGTCGCCGGGTCCTTTGACACCAAAGAGACTCTTCTTTGGTGAACTTACCTCGAGACAAGCCTTGAATCCAATGTACTAAGGTGCGAGTTCGTCGGAGCAACCGTGTGGAACCCCCTCCACACTCCCTTGAGTCCCCCCTCACTGGATCTTCTCCCTCTCTCAAACTCCACCCTTTCCTCTCTCCCATTAAAGCTCTCTCTTCAAGTTTCCCCCACAAGAACGGAGCTACAATGGCTGCCAAAGACACTTACAAAGTGCCTTGCCATAGCTTAAATAGAGGCTCTCAAAACATGCTCGTTAATGCAAGTTGCTGACATTATCGTCCAGGATGATAGGTATATGTCCTGACCGATCAGTACAAAATTAAGCTCATTAGCCCGGGACGATATGGGACGATCAGAAGAAAATTGGTTACATCGTCCTGGCCGATCTTACGATCGTCCTGGCGATTAGTTTAAACCGATTTCAATCATCCTGATCATTGCCCTGTTTTAGACTGGCCGATATAGATCGTCCAGGCCATCATCCTGGCCGATCATGCGATCGTCCCGGACGATGTGATCATATCAATCAACCATTAATGCTTTCCGAAGATACCAGATCAATTAGGCATGATTGAGTTAGATCGTCCTGGACGATAATAATATCGTCCGGGCCGATTTCCTAAACAAAGACTTCCTAAACTGATTATGGCGGTTGATTCTTTCTGAATTTGAATTATCGTCCAGGCCGATCTGTTGACGGCTCCTAATGAGGATGCCCTAATTAGGGTTTCTATTTTTAGACCGATCGGCCAGGCCGATAGACGATCTCCAGGCCGATGTTACCAAAAATAGAAATCCTAAAGGGAACAACATGAAAACTTCTATGTTACATAACAACATGTCCCACACCCAATACAATTGACTCAAGAAAGGAAAAGATTACAAACTGACACAAACCTAGTCTACCCAATCTTGAGCTGGTTCTGAATTGCAGTCTTGATTGTGTGGTCCTGAAATGTTAGTACATAAGTCAATCGTATAGAAAAGAAAATGTTTGCTATCATCAAAATCATGAACCATTGATCCACAACAATGGGAGCCAAGAAGGCAACCAAGGGGTCCCATGTTACAGTCGTATGGGAAGAGCAATAACTTTTCACCAAGGACATTATTTCGGCATTATGAACCCATTCCGGAATGCTTTTTCAGAGATAGGGATAGAACCGATGTGCCGTAAGCACATTAGCTAGACATGCACAACTGAAATGAAGATGCACCAATATCACCTTTCCACAGGAGTCTATATAATCATCAATTGAGACCATATTACTATGGGTACGACCATACTAGTACCAGTGCCTCGGATCCCATCTGAACTCCACAGTTAAGTGTGCTTTGATGAGGGTAGTACTGGCATGGGAAACCTCCTCGAAGTCCTCATGTTGCACCCTTTTTTTAACCATCCACTTCATTTTTTCCATAGCTCTTCATTGTGACCAACAAACCACTATCAGTGTTAACTCGCCGCACCTCGAGCAAAGAAATCTGTAATACGACACTCAAGAAGGTGACCGTCATGTCCCATAGCACGATCGCACTGGAATAGAAATAGCTTTCCACCTATGACTCTATTTTATCATTATGACCCCATTCCCAAAAGTTTTTTCAGAGATGAAAAGAGTGCCGATGTGCCACAGTTGTTAAGAGAGTTGCTATTTGCATGTTTTATATTCTTCCAACTTTTTTAGTTTTGATGATTTCAAATATTATTGTTTTATGTATAGTTATCTCCTAACACTTTTTGAAAACGTTGTTTTTTCTCTTGTGTGTAATAACATTTCATGAAAATCAAACTCCAGACTACAAAGACTTCAAATCAAATTCAGCATGAGATACTTTGTGGATTTAAAACTTGTGTTTTTTCTTTGTAACTGAGTGAATACACACACACACTTAAGGAGATCTTGAGAAATTTGTATTGATCGTACGGGACGAACATAGTTCGTACAAGACGATCAAGTCAGTTATCTCCTCCTAAGAGCAATGGAACGAGCAGGAGTCGAAGGAAATTTTTCTAAGTTCTGATCGTCCAGGACGACGTGTATTCGTCCAAGGATGAAATGTTCTCTGGAAAATTTTTGTTCAAAAACAAAGTGTATTCGTTCCAGGACGAGTTGCTCTCTAGTTTGCTATCGTCCAGGACAAAGTATTTTCGTCCCGGGACGATTTGCTCTCTGTAAAACTTTCGTCCGAACGAACCTTAACTTTGTACCAAGACGAAGTGAACTAACTCTTAAAATTAAGTGTCGTTCTGTAGTTTTTGTGAACCGACCTATGGAATAATCGTTCGTACCGGACGAACCTAGTTCTTACGGGATTATGTGTGCATACGAAGTCATTTTGTACCCATATACATTAGGTTCGTTTCCAACGCACTTAAGTAAAATCGTCCATGATGATCCACGATCGTACGGAACGATCCAATACATATTGACTTAAAAATTAGATGTTTTTGAACGATTTTTTCTATGTCTTTGCTATAAATAGTCCAAACTAAACTGCAACATAATCTTTTTGCCCATTGATCTTCGTGCCTATTGAAAGAAGCGTCAAGGAGAGAGTGTGAGAGAGCATTCAAAAGAAGATTCTTACTACTAGAGCGAGAAGGCTTCACTTGGTGATTAAAGGTAAGAGTCTATACTTTTGATTTGCAATTACTTCATTCTTTTCTTTCTTCCTTCTAGATTTCTTATGATAAGATCTGTCAAGGAGATCCAGTTCTCTGCCGACACTTGGAGAGTGTGAACAGCCGAAGGGTTATCTGCCCACACTAGGAGAGTGTGAACAGCCGAAGGGTTCTCTGCCCACACTAGGAGAGTGTGAACAGCCGAAGGGTTCTCTACTTACACTAGGAGAGTGTGAAAGGAAGGATGGTTCTCTACCAACACTGGGGATAGTGTAAAAGGGCGTCAGTTCTCTGCCGCACCGGGTAGTGGTGGAAAGAGTTTTTGTAAAGGCTTCTCCGCCTTGCTGTGGGTGTAAAAAGAGAGTTACTATTGGTATTAGTGCAATACTCGGAGGGTGCCTCCAGGGAGTGGATGTAGGTCTAGTTTTGACCGAACCACTATAAATTTGGTGTTCTTTATTTTTCCTCTGTTTTTATTTTAACGTTTACTACTTGTGGTTGAAAAATCTATTTCTATAAAACTCACTAAAGTTAGTTTTTATTTCCAAATTTTAAGAGGGTAATTTTTTTTTAATTACCAATCCCCCCCCCCCCCCCCTCTTGGTTAGCCGTGGGACATAAGCTTAGGTTTAACAACCTAATACTTAGTGAACGAGTTTCAACAACAGGTGCATCGAATGGGCATGCACTGATGAATAATGCATTTTTAATCCCCTATAGTCCCCTGGATTAAGGATACACTAATATAACCTTAACACCAGAGTCTATATAATTATAAATTGAGACCATATTACTATTGGTTTGACTATACCAGCACTGGTGCACTAGAGTTGGAGAGAGCCCCGATGTGCCACAACTGCATCGGCAGGGTATACACAGCCGAATAACACATTTTTGATCCCCTACATACCACCGAAATGAGGATGAGCCAATATCACCTAACTACAAGAGCCTATATAACTAAAAATTGAGACTATATTACTATGAATGTGTATGTACCAGCACTAATGCACCCGATCCCCTCAGAACTCCATAATTAAGTGTGCTTAGGCGAGGGTAGTACTAGGATAGGTGACCTCTTGGTAGTCCTCATAGTGCACCCCTTTTTTTTTAACCAGCCATCTATATTTTTCCGTAGCTCTTCACCACAACCTACGAACCAATCTTAGTGTCGGCTCGCTGTGCCTCTAGCAAAGAAATCCATATTGTGGGTCATGTGAAGGAGACCGATTGGTCTCAAGAGGCGCCCGCACGGGAATAGAAATAACTTTCTACACAGGATTCCATTTCA